CTGCTGCGATCATCGGCCGACTGTGATGGGGCTTAGACTGTGGTGGCAGCAGTGGAGGTCGTGAGAAGTGGATGGTGAGGGTGTATTTAGAAGTACAGGTGAGAGGACTTAATGTGGGTTGTGAAAGAGGGAACCGAAAGAGTCTTCCCAAGTTAGGGGCTGGGGAAGGTAACTCAATATGGTGCCACTGTTCCCTGAGATGAAGGAGGATTTCAGAGAAGATCTGCAGCGTATTAGGAATCAGTAATTTTACAGCAGAACACTAAGCTGTGTCTAAGGCAACCCAGAGGATCAAGCTTATTGCTTGTATCTGCTGCTAGAATGTTTGCACCTGGATTGCCGAAGCTTGGCCCCGTTGTACACTCACAGAACACAGGTATTCAAGCAGACGCACACAGACCACGCAAGCCACTGATGTCAGCTCACGCACCAGCCTCCTTCTAACTGGGCTGAAAAATATAGAAAGAAACCAGACCTAACCCCACTCTTTCCTGCCTTGTAGATTCTGATGTCAGAGCCAGGGAAGTTGCTCCAGAAAGTGAAGGTGTGGCTGCAGGAGTACTGGAATGTCACAGACCTGATAGCCATCCTCCTGTTCTCTGTCGGAATGATCCTTCGTCTCCAAGACCAGCCCTTCAGGAGCGACGGGAGGGTCATCTATTGTGTGAACATCATCTATTGGTATATCCGTCTACTAGACATCTTCGGCGTGAACAAGTATTTGGGCCCATATGTAATGATGATTGGAAAAATGGTAAGCAGGGTCCTCTGATTCCATGTTATAAGTTCGCAGAGAAAGAATGGTAATAATAGGAGGAGGAAAATAATTCATTTAGACCTTAATAGGGGTGTTTGTTTTTTAAATTTCTTTTGTGTGTTTGGGAGTTTGACTACATCTATATAAAAAATTGGAGAATTTAATCATTAGTCACCCATTCGCTTGCTGAAAAATATATAGAGATCATTTATTTTGTGCCAGGCACTGGACTAAGAGTTGGGTATACAGAGAAGCTCTTTCCACAAGATAGAAGTTGAGAGAAAGCAAGAGAAGCAATCACCATACAGTGTGAGGATGCTGTAAAAAGTACAGCAGGAGCGTAGAAAAGAGAAAGTAGGCCAGGAAAGGCTTCACACAGAGGTTACTTACACTTTAGCTCCGTTTTGGAGAAGGATGGATGTCTGCTACAAATTTTTAACAGATTTTAAGATTTTTAACAGATTCTTCCCTTTACCAAAGTGCTAGAAAAAATGCCTTTCCCTACACAAAGGAATGAAAAAGATAGTTTGTCAGGGTTGAGCACAGCTCGTTGAGTTGGGTTGAGTTTCAATTAAACATTAAGGCTATCATGCACATATTTTGTTGCTCCACTGGAAAATTATGTCTGTTAAGAACTAGGTTCCAGAATGATGCTCCTACTTATGTAATTCCTTAAAGAAGAATCCCAAGTTGCAAGTTCATATGCCTCCCTACAAACGGTCAAGGACTTGTTCTAATACTCTTTGACCGTACACCAGCTTCCAGACATTTTCCACAAAGACCGAGCCCTAGGAGGACAACTTCAGTGTGAATCTGGAAGCACACAAGTAAATCAGCTCCTTCTCCAAACTCCCTAGATGAAGAATCAGAGCCTGAAGCCCAGAAACTGGGTACTTTTTATCCATTCCCCCACTTTTCTAAGTGTGTCCCCTTTTTCACCTTCACAGGACATGTGTGGAAAAGCTAAGTACATCCCTCCTACATGGCAAACGCCTCTTACTGAAAAATCTCTTTGCTAATAACCTTCACTTCTTTTTCCCTGTATGAGCTGTTGAAACCAACAACCAGTCAATAAATGTCCTTTGTCATTATCACTCAAGTGTTATTATATATATCATTGCTAACTCAACATTTGTTAAACATCTGTGTGTGTGTGTAGCTCTACTAAAATGAGTCTTAAATAAACAAAACTTCCTATAAAAGCACAAACCCATGCAAAGAAAAGAATTTGAATTAAAAATGAATAGAGTAGGAGACCTTGAGTAACTTACACAACCTCTTTAAGACTCAGTTTAGTCATTTCTGAAATAGTCGTGAATAATAAATGCACATCTTGTAGGGTGGTTGTGATGATTAGAAATACACGTTAAAGGGCCAGCCCA